CTTATATGGGCCTCGGCGTGCCCAGGTTCCACCTGGTCACGCCTCCCTTCGAGAACCCTCTCGAAGCCCCTTGGCTGCCCACGTGCCCCCTGAGGTGCCCCTCGGGGCCCCGGCCCCCACTGAGTTTCGGTCCGGATTTCGGTCACGTGTGCGGCCGGGTTCACACAGAGTGCCACGGCCTCACACCACCCCCTGTTGCCTCACCCCCGGCCTCCCGAGTCCTCAACCAGCCCTGACGTCATTCCCACCTCCAGACGGGATGACGTCATGCGTGTGTGCGTAGACCCGCGGGGTAGTGACGCTCCCTCGCATAGTGACGTCACACGTGTGCGTGTGTATACATTCAGTAGTGACGCTGCCAGTCACTACATATGCATTGTCTTTGAAACTGATTGGTCCACACCAGAGACAGCTTTCTTTAGAGCCTTTTGGAATCCTCTGGTATAACACTGTTTGAGACTAGGCTCTAAGGAAAGCTGTCTCTGTTGTGGACCAATCAGTTTCAAAGACAATGCATAAATTGTCAGAGCATGTTTTTGTTTGTATTTTCACCACAAGTGTCTGTGGTTAATGCAGACACGATTCTTTGCAAAAGGTTTCAGTTTGGTGTTTTAACATCTTAACACCTGTTTTGTTACTCTTTGCCTCTTTCGGTAAATTCACGTAGGTAGAAAAATTAAATAAAAATAATATATCACGACGTTTCGATTGCAACACAAGCGATCGTCCTCAGGTGGAAAAAATAATCCAGTAGTGGAACTGCTGAACCAGACAAAAGAGTAAAAACGTATTCTTGTATTTTGACACAGGCAAAGGATGTTCGTAGTGTATTGTAGTGTATAGTATAGTGTATAGTAGTGAAGTGTATAGTAGTGTAGTGTGTAATAGTGTAGTGTATAGTGTAGTGTATAGTGTAGTGTATAGTGTAGTATATAGTAGTGTAGTATATAGTGTAGTGTATAGTGTAGTGTATAGTGTAGTATATAGTAGTGTAGTGTATAGTGTAGTATATAGTGTAGTATATAGTAGTGTAGTATATAGTGTAGTATATAGTGTAGTGCATAGTGTATACCCACGGTTCTCACCTCTCACGGTACTCACCATACCCACTGTACTCACCATACCCACTGTACTCACCACACTCACTGTACTCACCATACCCACTGTACTCACCATACCCACTGTACTCACCACACTCACTGTACTCACCATACCCACTGTACTCACCATACCCACTGTACTCACCATACCCACTGTACTCACCACACTCACTGTACTCACCATACCCACTGTACTCACCATACCCACTGTACTCACCACACTCACTGTACTCACCACACCCACTGTACTCACCATACTCACTGTACTCACCATACCCACTGTACTCACCACACTCACTGTACTCACCATACCCACTGTACTCACCACACTCACTGTACTCACCACACTCACTGTACTCACCACACTCACTGTACTCACCATACCCACTGTACTCACCACACTCACTGTACTCACCATACCCACTGTACTCACCATACCCACTGTACTCACCATACCCACTGTACTCACCACACTCACTGTACTCACCACACTCACTGTACTCACCACACTCACTGTACTCACCATACTCACTGTACTCACCATACTCACTGTACTCACCATACCCACTGTACTCACCACACTCACTGTACTCACCACACTCACTGTACTCACCACACCCACTGTACTCACCACACTCACTGTACTCACCATACCCACTGTACTCACCATACCCACTGTACTCACCATACCCACTGTACTCACCATACCCACTGTACTCACCACACCCACTGTACTCACCATACTCACTGTACTCACCATACCCACTGTACTCACCATACTCACTGTACTCACCACACTCACTGTACTCACCATACCCACTGTACTCACCATACTCACTGTACTCACCATACCCACTGTACTCACCATACTCACTGTACTCACCACACTCACTGTACTCACCATACCCACTGTACTCACCACACTCACTGTACTCACCATACCCACTGTACTCACCATACCCACTGTACTCACCACACTCACTGTACTCACCACACTCACTGTACTCACCATACCCACTGTACTCACCACACTCACTGTACTCACCACACTCACTGTACTCACCATACCCACTGTACTCACCATACCCACTGTACTCACCACACTCACTGTACTCACCATACTCACTGTACTCACCACACTCACTGTACTCACCATACCCACTGTACTCACCATACCCACTGTACTCACCACACTCACTGTACTCACCACACCCACTGTACTCACCATACCCACTGTACTCACCACACCCACTGTAGTCACCACACTCACTGTACTCACCATACCCACTGTACTCACCACACCCACTGTAGTCACCACACCCACTGTACTCACCACACTCACTGTACTCACCACACTCACTGTACTCACCATACCCACTGTACTCACCACACTCACTGTACTCACCACACTCACTCTACTCACCACACTCACTGTACTCACCACACCCACTGTACTCACCACACTCACTGTACTCACCACACTCACTGTACTCACCATACCCACTGTACTCACCACACTCACTGTACTCACCACACTCACTGTACTCACCACACTCACTGTACTCACCACACCCACTGTACTCACCACACTCACTGTACTCACCACACTCACTGTACTCACCATACTCACTGTACTCACCACACCCACTGTACTCACCATACCCACTGTACTCACCACACCCACTGTAGTCACCACACCCACTGTACTGACCACACTCACTGTACTCACCACACTCACTGTACTCACCATACCCACTGTACTCACCACACTCACTGTACTCACCATACCCACTGTACTCACCATACTCACTGTACTCACCACACTCACTGTACTCACCATACTCACTGTACTCACCACACTCACTGTACTCACCACACTCACTGTACTCACCACACTCACTGTACTCACCATACCCACTGTACTCACCACACCCACTGTAGTCACCATACCCACTGTATTCACCATACTCACTGTACTCACCATACACACTGTACTCACCATACCCACTGTACTCACCATACCCACTGTACTCACCACACTCACTGTACTCACCATACCCACTGTACTCACCATACTCACTGTACTCACCATACCCACTGTACTCACCATACCCACTGTACTCACCACACTCACTGTACTCACCACACTCACTGTACTCACCACACTCACTGTACTCACAACACTCACTGTACTCACCACACTCACTGTACTCACCACACTCACTGTACTCACCATACCCACTGTACTCACCACACTCACTGTACTCACCATACCCACTGTACTCACCACACTCACTGTACTCACCACACTCACTGTACTCACCACACTCACTGTACTCACCATACTCACTGTACTCACCACACTCACTGTACTCACCACACTCACTGTACTCACCACACTCACTGTACTCACCATACCCACTGTACTCACCACACCCACTGTAGTCACCATACCCACTGTACTCACCATACTCACTGTACTCACCATACACACTGTACTCACCATACCCACTGTACTCACCATACCCACTGTACTCACCACACTCACTGTACTCACCATACCCACTGTACTCACCATACTCACTGTACTCACCATACCCACTGTACTCACCATACCCACTGTACTCACCACACTCACTGTACTCACCACACTCACTGTACTCACCACACTCACTGTACTCACAACACTCACTGTACTCACCACACTCACTGTACTCACCACACTCACTGTACTCACCATACCCACTGTACTCACCACACTCACTGTACTCACCATACCCACTGTACTCACCACACTCACTGTACTCACCACACTCACTGTACTCACCACACCCACTGTACTCACCATACTCCCTGTACTCACCATACCCACTGTACTCACCACACCCACTGTAGTCACCACACCCACTGTAGTCACCATACCCACTGTACTCACCATACCCACCGTGGGGAGCGGTGGTGTGGTAGCGGTTAGCGCCGCACCGCGCTACGAATCCGGCGACTTCGAGTTCGATTCCCGATCACAGCCAACACCGGCGTTGATGATTACACTATGTAACACAATATTTGTTCCTGGGTAGTAAGTGTTATTTCGTAATTGCCTATGCCTAAAAAGTGTAGAAAATGACTACAAAAGATTTAGAAGTGAGTAGTTTTTCGAGATTGATCCTCCCTACAGAGAACTCTTGTCCGCCGTGGGCAGCCCCGCCTGTGGTAGTGCGTCTTGGTGTCTAACACATCTTTTGTAGTCATTTTTGTATTACTTTAGTATAAATACATTAAAATATTGATTAATATGTTGTTGTTTTCTAACTTTGTGTGAACGAAAAGACACACATTCGCCCTTTTTCTCCTTGAAAATAGGTACATTTTAAAATATCAATGTCCTGGTCACTAACGCAAGATTTGTCGGCAAAAATAGCGACTTTCTATACTTTTGAGGCATAAGCAATTAGGAAATAACACTTACTACCCAGGAAGAGTATTATCTGAATCTCTACCGGGCCTCCCCTAAGTCAACTCAGCCTCAAATGAGTACACCCCCCTCCCCGTGCAGTAGTGGTGTAGTAAAAATCGCCACTGAGACAAAGGCGGCCGGACGTGCGTGGTGCTGGCCACCCACCCCCTCTGTGTGTGCCACAGTGCGGGTAGCCTTCAATGGCTACTCGCTAACAGCACTTGACCCCCTTAGTCTTATAAGGCAATATGGGGGATATTTGTCTTTGTTTGTATACGTACGTGTGTGTGTGTATAGGTTGAAATGTTTATGTGTATGTGCGCTATTGGACACCTAGGTTCAATTGTTAATATTTACTCAGTATGAACGGAAACAGTTAACATATATTTCCATGCATTGCAAGCATCTATATAAGTCTGGATATTTCTCTAGCCCTTCGAGAACATCGATGGCATTCTCAACCCTCAGCTATCTAGCCCCTTCTGGAACATTATCTTGAGGTCGTGATGATGGTGGTGATGGTGGTGATGATGATAATGGTGGGATCTCTCTTCATCTTTACAACAGAGGTTGATGGTGAGTGTGCTGGTGGTGGTAGTATCGATGATGATGGTGGTGGTGATGGAGGTGAAGGTGCCACCCACTCATCCACCCACTCACACACTCACAAATCTACTCACCCACTCGGTCACCCACCCACCAAATCACCGACTCACTCACCCACTGATCACTCACTCACCCACCCACTTACTCATCCACCCACCCACGCACAGGGTTTGGCCACTTCCTCCGATATCTGAGGCTAGGCAATCGCCAAGCTCACACGCATCTCTCTCTTAGCCACTCAACCACCCATCCACTCACCCACTCACTCACCGGCCCACCCATCTTTGTCTCCCCACAGCCGCCTTGGTCTGCACTACTCCTTTCAGCGACAAGTTCAAGGACGTTTCCGCGTCCCCCGGCGGGATCCTCATCGGCGTTGGGAGCGACAGAGACGTCAAAATCTGGTCCAGTTGCTCTTGGCGATCGATGGGGGCGATGTTTGATCGGATATCGATCGGTGGCCGAGGTCGGGGTGCCGCAACGTCGAGTGGAGACCTCTACGCATGGGCGAGAACCGACGACTGGAACGTGTACTACTACCACGGATACGCGTGGTACCATGTGATGGGTGAGATGATGATTTGCTTCTGCCGCTGCTACTATTATTAGTACCACTACTGCAAGCAGATTATTTTTAAGTAATACGCCCACTCACTCACTCACCCACCCACCCACGCACCCATTCACCCATTCACTCACCCACTCACTCACCCACTCACCGACCCACCCACTAATCCACTCAGTCATTCATTCATCCACCCACTCACTCACTCACCTACTCACGCACTCACTAACCCAATCACTCACTCATCCACTCATCCACTCACCCACCCACCCACTTACCCATTCACCCATTCATTCACTCACCCACTCACTCACTCGTCCACTGACCCACTCACTCATCCACTAACCTATCCACTCACTCATTTTCCCATTCACTCACTCACCGACTCAGTCACTCACCTATTCACCGACCCACCCACTCATTCACCCACTCATACACTCACTCACTCATCCACCCACTCACCCACATACCCATTAACCCACCCACTCACTAACCCATTCACCCACTCATCCATTCACTCACTCACCCACTCACTCACTCACCCACTTACCCACGCACTCACCCAGTCACCCACTCATCCATTCACTCACTCATAAATTCACCCACATACCCATTAACCTACCCACTCACTCACCCACTCACTCACTCATTCACGCACCCACTTACCCACGCACTCACCCACTCACTAAACCACTCACACACTCAATCATTCATCTACTCACCCACCCACTCACTCATCCGCTCACTAACTCAACCACTCACCCACCCACCCGCTCACCCATTCATCCATTCCATCACTCACCCACTCACCCACTCACTCACCAACTCACCCACCCACCCACTTACCAACCCACTCACTTACCCGTCCGCTCACCCTTAATTGAATGAACACAGCTGTACCAATGATACTCACGCACTCGCTCACTAACCCAATCACTCACTCATCCACTCACTCGTCCACTAATTCACTCATCAACTCACCCACCCACCCACTTACCCATTCACTCACTCACCCACTCACTCACTCGTCCACTCACCCACTCACTCATCCACTCACTCACCCACTCACTCACTCATCCACTCACCCACGCACACACCCATTCACCCGCTCACCCATTCACCCATTCACTCACTCACCCCCTCAGTCTCTCACCTACTCACCCACTCACCCACTCTCCAACTCACCCACACACTCACCCACTCACCGATTCACCCAACCACTCACTCACTAATCCACTCACTCATCCACTCACCCACCCAACCACTCACTCACTGACTCATCTACTCAACCACCCACCCACTCATCCACTCACCCTCTCACCCATTCCATCACTCACCCACTCACTCACCTACTCAACCTCCCACTCACTCACCCACTCACTCACCTACTCACCCACCCACTCACTTACTAATCCACTCACTCATCCACTCACCCACTCACCCACTTACTCATTCACCCATTCACTCACTCAACCACTCATTCACTCACCCACCTACTCACTCACTCACCCACCCACCCAGCCACCCACTCACTCCCTCACTCACCCACCAACTCAATCACACACCCATTCACCCACCCACTCATCCACTCACCCTCTCACCCATTTCATCACTCACCTACTCACCAACTCACTCACCTACTCACCCACTGACTCACCCACCCACTCATTTACTAATCCACGCACTCATCCACTCACCCACCCACCCACTCACCCACTCACTTATTCACCCATTGACTCACTCAACCACTCACTCACCCACCTACTCACTCACCCACCCACCCACGCACCCAGCCACCCACCCACTCACTCACCCACTCAATCACCCTCCGACTCACCCATTCACCCACCCACTCATCCATTCACCCTCTCACACATTCCATCACTCACCCACTCACCCACCCACTCACCTACTCACCCACCCACCCACTCACTCACTCACTCAATAATACACTCACTCATCCACTCACCCACCAACCTACTCACTCACCCACCCACCCAGCCACCCACCCACTCACTAACTCACTCACCCACCCACCCACTCAATCACCCACACACTCACCCATTCACCCATCCACTCATCCATTCACCCTCTCACACATTCCATCACTCACCCATTCACCCACTCACTCACCTACTCACCCACTCACTCACCCATTCCATCACTCACCCACTCACCCAATCACTAACCTACTCACCCACCAACTCACTCACCCACTCACTCACCTACTCACCCACTCACTCACTAATCCACTCACTCATCCACTCACCCACCCACTCACCCAAATCACTCACTCACCCACCTACTCACTCACCCACCCACCCACTCACCCATTCACCCAACCACTCATCCACTCACCCACCCACCCACTCACTCACCCACCCACTCACTCACCCACTAACCCACTCACCCATTCACCCATCCACTCACTCACCAACTCACCCATTCACAAACTCACTCACTCACTCACCTGCTCGCTCACCCTTAATTGAATGAACACAGCTGTACCAATTATATTCTATCTGCGTCTAAACATCCCACTGCTATTGTTAGTGTGGGAGTCAAGTTTCGTGTTTATTTGGTTAGTCAGGCTGTATCAATATACTCATTGACACATTGAGACCAATAACGACTGATAGAGATACACGCACGTCGATAGATATACATAGACACGTGAAGGTAGATAGATACTCTTAGAGATGAATAGAGATACGTAGAGACCCATTGAGATACACAGAGATATACGGATACCCTTTGGGATACTCATAGACCCATAGAGATACTCATAGACCCATAGAGATACACAGAAATACACAAAGACCCATAGAGATACTCAGATACCCATTAAAATACACAGAGATACACAGATATCCATAGAGATAGACAGAGATGAATAGAGACCCATAGACAAACACAGGGATACAGATGTAATGACATCGCGGGAAGTCAGTTTGTAGTACCGGCCTATAGAGGCACGGCGTGCGGTGTAATGACACCACGGACACCACAGTGGTGTGGGTGTAGTAGCGGCCCTAGAGGGACCCGGTGAGCGCTGATTGATAGCGCTGGATGGCACCAAGCTTGGCGTGCAGTGCTAGCCCGACAGGACATGGTTTTGGAGTGCCGGCCGTAGAAATTAGGTTGCTAAAGGCCATGGCACTTTGGTTGACCCAAGAGGACACGTGCCCAGTTAAGTCTACAAAGGGGCCCGAGTGGGGGCTAGGGGTGGTCACGTGGCTAGCATCCAGATCCTTTCCGAGGATTGTGGAAGGTGGTCGTGGCCAAGGGCGGAGCCAGCCACGCTGCAGAGAATAGAAGCCGAGTCCCCAGAGGGACCGGCGTTGTTGTTCATCCTGGAAGAAACCTTCATCTACGTTCTCCGTTCCACTCACTCACTCATCCACTCACTCATCCACTCACCAATTCACTCACTCACCCACTAATGCACTCACTTACTCATCTACTCACTTACCCACCCACTCTCCCACCCACTCACCCATTCACCCACCCACTCTTCCACTTACCCAACCACTCACCCAATCACCCATTCAATCACTCACCCAGTCAGTCACTTACCTATTCACCCACTCACCCACTCACTCACCCACTTACTCACTCTCCTACTCATCCACTCACTCACTCACCCACACACTCATCTACTCACTCACTCATCCACTCACTCACTCATGGACTCACCCACTCACCCATTCCCTCATTCACTCACTCACTCACTCACCCACTCTGTCACTCACCTACTCACCCAACCACTCACTCACTCTCCCACCCACTCACCAACTCACCCACTCACTCATCTACTCACTCAGTCATCCACTCACTCACTCATCCACTCACCCACCCACCCACTCAACCAGTCACCCATTCACTTACCCAATCAGTCCTTAACCTACTCAACCACCCACCCACTCAACCACCCACTCACTCATTCACTCACCCACTCACTCACTCACCCACTCACCCAGCCACTCACCCAGCCACTCACCCACTCATCCATTTACCCACCCAGCCACTCTGCCACTCTCCCACCAACCACACACTCACCCAGCCACTCACCCACTCACTCACTCACTCACCTGACCCCTCACCCTTAATTGAATGAACACAGCTGTACCAATGATATTCTATCGCCGTCTAAACGTCCCACTGCTATTGTTAGTCTGGGAGTCAAGTTCCGTGTTTATTTGGTTTGTCTGGCTGTATCAACATACTCATAGACACATTGAGACCCATATATCTATGTAGTGGCGGTGCGCGCTGACAAGGTGGGGGTGTGTGTGTGCGCGCGCCGGGCGTGGCTACATCGAGTGTGGGGGTGTTGACGCACGCCGACAGTGATGGATCACGGGGCGGCACTGGGTGCGTGGTTGTGCGCGTTGACACGATATGGGAAACAGGATCGTGGGCAGCGCGCTGAGTGATTGGTCAACTGGGGTGGGTGCTCTCAGCGACGTCCGCATGGAGGACTATAAAGGGGGACGCACGAGAGCACTCGGAGAGTTATTACCAGCTGAAGATCGAAGACGGAGTTGAAGAGATAGGGCCCTGAGACCCCTAGCCCCGCTGTCCTTGTAAGGGCCGGGACCCTGTGCGGCTCAGAGGCGAGGCTGTGGGACCCGTGGCCTGGCGTCCATGTGGGACGAGGCTGTGGGACCCAGGGTCGAGACTAATAACCCAGCCGGGTGGGTTCCGAGAAGCTACGGGGCGTAAGAACCCGTGTGGGTGTAGCCAGGGGAACCTCGTGGGTTATGTGGCAGTTGCCACCCGTGTAAAATAAGTTGGTGTTAATAAAAGGTGTGCTACCCGTCAGAGTCGTCTCCCGCCAAGTTACTACTTTACAACTGGTGTCAGAAGTGAACCTGTCTTCTAAAACGATGGATACTAGGAAGACTACCCATACCCACGAGCGAGATCGGGAAGACGACGGCGTACCGGAGCCACAAGCCTCGGGAGGCGAGGACGATGAGATGCCGCCGATGCAGCACCTC